TCAAATCTGTAATCATTATGCCATATAATCTGAATTACTGTAATATTTTGCATATTGTTAAAACTGTAACTTTAATTGTAAAAAAAAATTTTAAATAAAAAAATAAATAAATAAATAATCCATGAATCTTAAGGATGTTATTTCCCATTATCAGATTCTAATATTAAACTAAAGATGTTATACCAAGTAGGTCTATATCTATTTTATAATAATAGAAAGGATACATATACCTTAAAAGAGGATATATAAAGAAAGAAATTATTGTTGAATTCCTTTTGCAAATCTTCATCTTCCTGGGGGATTTCACCTTGAGTTCGAGATCAACATCGAATATCTGTGTTCCATGTTGTGATTGCTTCAGCACGAAATAGAGATGCCTTGAAATCCAGTCAATTGTAATAACTGCAACATCAGAAATCAGTGCATCTTGGAATAGCTTAACATGACACAGAAAGCAAAACCAAGAAGAATGTCAATCTTCGTCCATCTGAAGACTTCTGCAGCTGCTCATAGCTCTCATGCAGGGTTGTACTCTGCTGAACAATGAACCCTCTTCCCACACTCTACATTTTCCCACCCCTGAGATTATTTCAGCTAGCTTGGCTTCAGCTGCAATCCACAAATAAAGGCTAAAATTTCTCATCGCCAGACAAGATCTTCCATTTAGTTAGAGTCGCAACTATCAAACTACCTAATGGACATCTTCATATGAATTACTCCAAAAAACAGAATCCATCCCCACAGCCCTTTTCTCTTGCACTTTACATTGTCAAGGATTCCCAACATTCACCCTAGGAGCCACTCCTCACAAATGTGGCTCCCGTAGACCACCGTCTCACATTTCTGCACATAGGGAACTGGTCTCCATGTAAGTCTCTCTCCAGCTTCTCTCCTTTCTCACCTCATTGACTATCAACTAACTCCATCCCTTAAAATGGACCTCCTGGGTTTCAGTGGTTACCTCTTAATTGTCTTGGATTCAACTCTAAATCATTATTCCTACTGCTGACAAAGAGAGCTTTCAAAACACACTTTGAAGCTAGGGTGGTAGTGGTGCACGCCTGCAAGCCCAGCCCTGAAAAGGTGGTCAGAAGATGAGGTGTGTCCACTGCATAGTGATTTGAGGCCAGCCTTGGCTATGCGAGACTATCTCAACTGAGCAGGTACCATATGAACTCACAGCCATGGTAGCAGCATGAACAAGTCCCAGGTAAGTTCAAGCCAGACAAAATCCCAGCATAGATGTGGGGAAGTAGGTGGGAAACCCCCACCTTACCTGAGGAAATACTGGGAACTGATAGCTGCTGGGAGGGCAAGTGTCAGTTTCTTTTAAAGGTGAGACTGTTGGTAAATTAACCAGAATCCAGTGGATGGATCCACACTGAAGTGGCACTTGTGGACACAAATTTGAATATACATATATATGTGTGTGTATATATGTATATAAATATATGTATAATAAGAGTACATGAAACTGGGTGGGGGAGCAATATGGCAGGGGATCTAAATGCAATAGAAATATATTGTTTGAAATTCACAAAATTCAATTAAATAAATATTTTAAAAATTAAAAGAAAGCCACAACTTGACCAGTGACTAACCCACGAAATTTCTTTAATAGCTTGCTGTTAGCTTCCAGCTTGACACCTGACTTCCTAGTGCAGGTCAGGAAGTTCATGAGGCTCAGAGTCCCACTTACCTCTACCACCCGCCGCCTTTTGTTCCACCTTCCCCACCCCCACCCCAGATTCTCCCTCAAGGTCCTGAGCTTGCTGCGGCCCCCTTGCCCCCTTCACCTTCACCTGGCTCATGTCTGTACAAAAGATGGTCCTCCTTCTTCACGACCGCCATTTTAGCGTGGGTTGCTGTTCCTAATGTGATTCCATCACATCCTGCTCTCTGCAGAGCAGTTATGATACTCTGTCCTCTATATTGATTCCTGTTTAGTGAATGGCTACCACATACCAGGCATTGTGCTATGTGCTTTAATCGATTTCCTCATTTGATTGTCATAGGAACCCTAAGATGAGATACTGCTTAACCACAGAGTCAATAACTTCCTGGTAAGTTGTAGAACCTGAAGTAAATTCCATGAAGTTGGATCTCAAAACTCCCTCTTAAGCACTATGCAGCCTTCCTAGTATTTGAATAACACTAGACCAGCTTTGTGAAGAGCAAAGCCTGTAATGTTTTACCTCTTGCTATAACTTGGATCAGGAAGATTTCCACAAAGGCCAGTGTGTAAAGGCATGATCCTAGCCTTGATGCTCTTGAGAGGAAGTGAGCCTTTCAGTGTGGTGCCTTGTGGTAAGTCTATAGGTGATTGGGTGTAACTCTACAGAACTCTGGTCTCCTGTCTTTCCCCTCCTGGGTATGAGATGAACAGTTTTGTTCTTTTTTAAAATTTTATGTGTGTAAGTGTACTGCCTGCATGTATGTAAGTACACCCATGTTGTACACTGCCCGCAGAGATCAGAAGAGGGCATAAGATTCCCTGGAACTGGAGTAACAGGTAGTTGATAGCTACCATGTGGATGCTAGGAATCAAATCCGGGTCCTCTGCAAGAGGCTAGAGCCATCTTTCCAGCTCCCCAGTTTTGATCTTTTTAAAAAATATTTTATTATGTTTATTTTATTTTATGTATATGTGTGTATTGCCTGCATTTATGTAAGTGCAACCACATCATGCAATGCCCACAGAGGTCAAGAAGAGGGTGTCGGATCCCCCGGAACTGAAGTTACCAGTGATTGTTAGCAACCATCCTCTGTACAAGCAGCCAGTGCTCTTAACTGCTGAGTCAGCTCTCTAGTCCCAGCAGTTTTGCTCTTCAATGCGCTCCCTACCATGATGTACAGCCTCACCATAGGCTCAAAAGCAACAGGGCCAAATGACTGAATGAAACCTCCAAAACTGTGAAAATAAATCTTTTCAACTTTATAAGCCTTTATAAGTTGATTCAGATATTTGTTCTAAGAGAAAGCTACCATATCTTTATAGCCCCAGAAACACAGTACCTTAAACCCAGTATGCAAATTAATCCTGAATGACATTTGCACAAAATCCATTCTATATTTATTTGTAGCTAAATGGCTACACATTTAGTTGCTATCTCAATGATTCTAATCTAGAAGGCTCAACCACTCTCCAGTCATCTTAATTATATCCTGTAATTCAAAACAATCACAAAGGGAAGTACCCTGGTGCTGGAACGATTGTGCAAATTCAGAAGGAAAAGTGAATCTCCTTGAGTGAAATATCCCATTTCATCATTAGCAATGTATCCCATAGTGCTGACATCTCCCTCTGCAGAAAACTTCCACACAACTTGATTTTGATCCATATCTAGAAGCATTATCTTGTTGCCAAGAAGAGATAAGAGGTAAGGAAACGGATTGATTTCTACAAATGAAAAACAAGTAGACAATGCACATGAGAAACTAGCTTTAGATTAGGGAATGACAGGAGTTTTGCAATACATGGACTCCCTTCAGACTCTCTAAATACATCGGACTAAATGAAGAGTCTTAGGCCTTCTGATCCTGTGCTCTTTCCTATGTATTCTAGTGTGAGAAAAGTATTTTATCTGATTTTAACTTTTAGTTCAGAACTGCTACCTCTATTCCTAAACATACCAATGAAAAGATAAACTTTCAATTGTTATTTACAGATTTTAGATAACAAATACCTGATGTTTTAGAAGTCACAATGTCAGAAAATGGTCCTGGGCCTTTGGATGTGAAGACTCGGACCTGAAGAATAGAAAAAGAAGCCATTTTAAATTCACATTCAACAATGTTCTCAGGGGCAGTAAGTTCTAAGACTGACAAATTATGCAATGTTTCATTTACATACCTAATATGTATTATAAATAGTTTTAAATAGTTGTTTACATTTAAGTATGTTGCAATAAAAAGCTAAGAGGGAAATACTGCCCTGTGTTCACAGCTGGGTTTTTGCCTAGAAAAATGCAAGGAATGACACATATCTCCATTGCATGGAAAAAGTCTGGGGAGTCACTGTGCAACACAGATGGGATGGATATTCTGAGAAGTTGATTGTGATAACATTAACCAACATATGAACAAAACAAATCATCACATCTGAATATATACAATTTTTACTCATCAATTAGATGTTTTAAAGTAAATAAAAGGTGTTCAACTATTTCCAAAATTAGGTTAGATAAATTATGTTGCCTAATTTTACAAATTATAGACCACCCCTTACCTTAAATTTGACAACTAAAAGCTTCAAATAACTAAATTTACTATATTTTCTAAAAGGAAATTTATAAAAAGAAAACAATTCAGCCAGGCATGGTGGCACACGCCTTTAATCCCAGCACTTGGGAGGCAGAGGCAGGTGGATCTCTGTAAGTTCAAGCCCAGCCTGGTCTCCATAGTGAGTTCTGGGACAGCTGTGGCTACAGGGAGACCCTGTCTCAAAAAGACAATTCAATCTTACATTGGAAAGTAATTATACACTTCATATACATTCTCTTTTGATCCTCACAGTTACTTCGGAGTAGAAAATAGACCAGGATTATAATTGTGTGTCTCATCTACAATACGCATGTAGAAACTGGCACAAGATCCAAATCTTCTTTTCCACTGTGCCATGCTACATCCTAACAGGAAAGTTTTATTTTGATTTTTAAATATATTTTGCTGTGTAATTAATCATTTTGATTTCCAAAACTTTCATATCTACAGTAACCTACAAAGAAAACTACCCCATATAAGGATGGTCTCAAACCACAGAATCTGAAGTGCACTGCATTATTTTATTATACTTGCAGCATTAGATACATTTTACTTATATTATAGATACTATATTGTGTTAATATCTGTGTGTGCATTTGTCTATTCAGGCAACCTTCACTTTTAAATAAGACTATGTTAAATGAAGTCCATATGTACCCAGATGTATTA